TGGAAAATTACTTGAAACATGCAAGAGGCACATGGTATGCGTACGTTCTATATAATAGGCCTATTATAAATTCCAAATATTGCACTTTCTTTCAGAGAAAATTGTTTTGTGTTTTTGTTGTTCATTTTAGTCTGCACAGTTTCAATAAGTCACTAAAAGTGAGAGAAAATCATACAACAGCAGATTGTGTCCTGGTTACAGGAAATGAAGCACACCCATCCAGACTTTGAGTCTTGACATGGTCACACATTTGTGTGTGCAATCACAAGTGTTTACTATGTATGAGTTGTAGCCACCAGTATTACCATTATACTGTTCTCTGGTGTTTATAGGCTTATGGGAACTAATGGCTTCCACACATTTTATGCATAGACACATGAGAAGTTTAAGATGATAAATGCGGAAATAGTGCTCACTGAATGGTCTCATGAGTATGAAATTGAATGGCCCTCACAGTCACCACATCTCAACCCAACTGAAGACATTCATCACCCATTGGCACTTGACTTGAGTACATGACTCATCTTGTTCCAACTTTGTGTTAAGAAAGCTATATATTGTGCTGATTCATATTACACTCCTTTTATTTCAAGACAGTAACATATCTTACAGTGTTAAAGCAAATGTCCATAGGTTAATCAGCCCGACATAGCACCAAATAAACCTCGGCTCAGCTCGACTTGGTCAGACTTCAGTTGGATTTGTAACTGACTTGTGACGGTGATTAAGAGTCATTTTTAAGGGCTAAATACTAAATATTTTTTATTTTGCATACTATTACAGGGTTACTGTGGTTTGTTTTGTTTTGTTTCTTTTTAATCGTAAACTTGAAATGAAAAATGCTTTTATGCCTTTTAGATTACATCTACACACAACCATTTAACAATTTATGTCCAAATCAATTTCTTTGGATTTTAATTTTAATTAACCATCCAATTTCAACGAATAATATAATGAAATCCACCCATCAGTCAATCTTCAACTTTTGGCACTACAGAGCTAAGATTCATTAATTAGCTAGCAACCAACAGCATGGTTTCTGCCAGAGTGGAGGGTTTTTGGGGGCCGGGTCTCACTGATTTCATCTAGATCATTTGGGTAAAAACTGGATCATATATAGTGCAGAAAATATTTTCTAGTTTTCTCTCTGATGTCCCCCAGCATCTCTGCCTCAACTTCACTAGCTGCTGCTGTAACTGCTTTTAGTTAGTAAGCTAATATTAACTGACTCAGCCCTTGGATGCCAAGAGCCAAACCTGGAAGAGACCCACCTCGGTGCTGTTGGTTTTGAAATGGTCTCAATTTAATAGCCTCTATATGACCAACACAAACAAGAACGTCAGCGGAAATATTGGCTGTTTTTATATAGTTGTTCTTAATGCCTGCTGTTTTGGATTCGCCTTGAAATCATTGAAACGAGGCAGTAGAAACACTACCGCTTATGTCCACAGGGGCTGCCAGAGTCAACACAAAGTTTCTAGTAGCTGCTTAATATAATATTTCCTACACAATGGGTTTCACTTTTGGCAGCCCAGAAAAGTGAATGTCCCTTACTGGCTGACATACTGACACACATTGTTTTAATGTTGATGTATGACAGTTCACATATCACACATGAACGTGTGCAAATTTGAGGTGGCCCAATAGGGCACACTTCACCTCACCTCACCTGCCAGTGTTGCCAAGTTATTGACTTTATTTGACCCAAGAGTGCAGAGACAGATGTCAGCTACTTTCAGCACTGCTGCCTGGTGGATCTGTAGTCCTCCCTGCTTGGCGTAGCAACAGCTTTCTGGGTTGACAGCTGCCCTCAGAGAGTGGAAGTGAGCAGTATAACAGCAGCCTGACTTCACCAGGTAACTGGGTTGCGTATGTTTGTGAAAAATACTTGTTCCGGAGCTGCACTTGCGGTCTGGTAAGGTCTCTTGCCTGGTCTTGTTTTACTACAATCCTTATTGTTAAGTAGTCAGTGCTGTTGTATATTGTTTTTCTTGCTGTAGCTGAAGTTTACATTTTTGTTGGTTTTTCTTTCTCCATTTAGCCATGGTGGCTATGAATTCTTTTAGGAACCCCAAATGCATCAATTCCTGTTTGTAGATTAAAACACTACAGACTTCACATATACATAACTTTGCTTGAATTCCATACTAATGGTCTGCTGTAAGTAAAAAGAAAGTTGAATATACCAAGCAGTATTGCAATAAGTTCCCCATTAGGAATCTCAATCAACTTTTAAATTCTGCACACATGAACAAGCATTTATTCCCACCCTGTTAACTCCCACAATTAGCCATAAGTGGGTAATGAAATGCCCTTCATGAATATTGATATGTGTGTAAATGTTTTTGCCCTTCCTTCTTTTACTGGGAGTAAATGGAAAAAGTGTAAGATTAAAAAGAGACATTTCCTTGTGACACCACGGTACATGTTGGCTGGATGAGGCAAGGTTAAAGGTGTTATTTACTGGCCGCCATTCAGTTAGAGTGGGAGCATGTCACAGCAGCGGTCTAAATACAAAAAGGTTGACAACAATGTGTCAGTGACAGTGGTGGGGATGATTGGACAACAGAGCTCTCTCTCCTTGACAGACCTTGATAAAAGCAAACTCTAATTAAATGCAATGTGACAGAAGAACATGGTGACACCAGGTGGCCTCAGCAGATGTGGACAGTTGAGATAAGCTTCTAAATGATTGACTGTTGCATTCTGTTTCCTTCCACTGCCCACTATGCTCTCTCAACAGTTGCTGTATAGCAGACTTGTTGTTCTTTCAATTAGGAATAACACCAGAAAGTGGCCAACCTAGATGACAAGCGACATGTTAGCTGTGAAAAGTGTGACATAAGCTTGAATTGGATTATTAGCCACGTGCCAAATGTTAATAGCACCCTCACCTCACCTCAAATGTTCCTCAAGAATAGTATTAAAAGGCACTGTAATCGCTAGGTCTAAGCAAGGACATGCAAATTGCCAAATCAAGTTTGCGTTTTCAGAAATCCCACTTTTTTTGTAGGAAGTAGTGTACATACTGTTTATTTCAAGCCCCAACTTGTACCTGATAATGGTTGTATAACAGGGCTTTTGCTATGTTCTTAAGTTTTACCACTACTATCACATGAAATCATAGCTTACAGTGAGCCCTGCAAATATGGAAAACACAACCAAATACAGAAACGCTGTGCAAATAAAGTAAAAGCAATATTCATTTTATTGTTTATTCACTCTGTGCTTTTTCTATCTGTGCTGTAAAAGGACAGAAAATATCTCTGAGAGGGGTCCATAGGTGGTATAGCAAAGTTGTAGAACTTATTTACATAAGGAGGTAAGTATGAGGTATACTGTATGTAAGACATGGTTTGTACATGTGTCCAGGTTCTGTCAGCATACGTACAAAGATCATGCTTTCTGTGTGGCTTTTAGCAATTGGTGTAAAGTGTTTAACTGAGTAGGTAGCCATAGTTTTGCTCCTTTGTTCGTGAGTTCTTCCTCTTTTTGCTCAGAGACATTTTGCTCAGGCTTAAGTATTGCTCAGGCTCCACATTGCACAATATACAGACGAGTGAAAATTTAGACAATGAAACAATGGAAATGAAAATTAGGTGAATATATTGAACACTTTGGGAGAATAGAGATGGTTTTAGTAGGAGGTTTATGTTATTTTGTCGTTTTAAATTGTTACCCATCTGTATATATTTATTTATTTATTTATCCCATGAGTGTGTATTATTTTATGTGTGCTGAGTGCTTGCAGACAAATACAGAAACACACTGCAAAAACAAGAAAACACAACCAAATAGAGACTTGTGCTGTAACTAGATGACCAGAACCTAGACAAGTCTGTTGTGCACCAGAATTGGTGGCTAGCAGATATATTAGAATGGTAAGTGTAGTAAGCTATTTGTTATTTGTGTTAACCTTGTTAGCTTGTTACTGGCAGTGGCAGAAGTGGTTGTGAAACATGTAATATCTGCTACAAAGTTACAGTGAGACCTTTTTCATTATTGTACACTTTTTGAAATATGTTTACAGCCAAGTACCCCCTGACCTGCACAAAACATTTTTGATGAAAACAATGCTTATAAAGAGGTACAATACAGCACTACACCATCAGTGACTAAAATGCTTCATTAGAATCCTTCATGGCAGACCAGTGTTTGTCATCTTACACCAAGACAGCATTGTGGTTTAATTGAACTGCGTCTTTTAAAATGAAATTGCACAAATGGCTTGTGCTTCACTGAGGATAATTTCAAGTACCGACTGCAGTACTCTATATTTGAGAAACACTGGTGTAAGGAAGCTCCAGGGTCCAGTTTACATCCAAAAACTACACACTGTACCATGTTTGCTGTCAAAACTTCCGCTATGCTAGTGCTAACAAGTCCGCTCTGCAGACTTTAGGTTTCAGGTTTCTTTACTAGATGGTGATTGGCTTTTGAAATTCAAATCTAGCTTGCCTTTGATAGGTTTGACTCACATATTTTATGTGAAAACACCAGTAAAGACAGTAAAGTCAAGGTTTGATGTTTAATGGGATGTAAATGTAAGAAAAACACATTTTTGAGTGGATGGAGTCTTTAAGTATTTATTTATAGCAGAGGAGTGGAAGTGTTCAAAAGGTTTCAAAACGATGTCTTTGTTTCAGTAGATATACTTTACAATATGCCGACACACATACAGTAACAATAAAAATACTGGGCTCTTGTGTGAATGGTGTGAAGGAACCATCTTAATTTCCCATTTTTAACCCTTATTAACCTGTAACACTTAGATGCTGATAAACTTAACACACATGCCATATGTCATGGCATTGTTCTATTGCTACTATAAATCTATAGTTAGTAAAACACAAGCCCTGAGCTGATAATTCAGGCAGTTTAATTTATTAACATGGCAGCAATTTGTGTGTTTTTGCTTTTCTAAACCCCCTCTGTCACCTTTCCACCAGTGAATTTAACTCACTGAGTTTTTCATTGTCCTTTTTTGTCCTCTCTTTTAGAGACAGTTGCTGAGCTGCATTCGCGGTGGAAACTGCCCCGGACCCAACGTCAGCTCGCTGCAGTTGCCTGGAGATGTGAACTTCTTCGCCAACCAACTTGCTGTGCCCACTATGGAGTTCGCCTTCGAGCAGACCAAAGCAGAAGAGGTAAAACAACAGATTGATTTTTTTTTTTTTTTACTTCCTCTGCTATCATTTTGCCTACTGACGACCCTCCAGTTTCAGACGACCCCCTTATGGCTGTACTTGAATTTTAAGGTCCATAATCACTGTGGAGAGACTGCATTGAAGACACACCTTGTCACTGACAGAAAGCTGTGATAAACTTCTGCTACAGGCCATCACTTATTTATCTTTGTATTTCTTGGAAGTTAAAATCCCTCTCTCAGAAGATACAGACAGCTGTCAGTAGTCTGAGTATATAATTTGTTGAACAAAAGTGTCATCTTTTAAAGAAAAAGATACATACAGTGTGTCAGTGCAGTATTTGTCCAGTTCTGACACATTGGGGACTGGATGTGATAACAACAATCTGCAGCCTTTAAGACTAATAGTATAATGTAGATAGAAAAAACATAATTTACAGACTCAGCTCGACACGCAGCGTTATGGATTAAGTCTCAATATAAGCAACAAATAAACTTCACAGACCTAACAAATTATGCATACCCCCATTTACTTCCATTAAAAATTCAGTATTTTTGTTTGTTGTATTGCCTTTGGGTGGAAACACAGAGATTTAGCCCCAGCTAAGTCTGCCCACTCAAATTTGGAACTTGTGGCTAGGATGGCAACTTTAAGCTTAATTATTGCAAGAGATCTTTATGATGTTATCCACCCTCAAGGCATCTTCACAACCTGAAAATAATAAGTAGTGGAGGGTGAAATGCACAGACCTGGCTTTATTTGGGGGAAGAAACAAAACCCAAATTGAATTAAAAACAGTCTGATACATAAATATGCTTGACTCTGCAAGGGGAAAGTCCAGTATGCATACATTAGCATTAAAGTGGAACTGCTGTGTTACAAATATGTGGGTAATCCAATTTCCTGTTTTATTTTATTTCTTTACTGAGACTTTAGTGAAGCTCGCCTGAGATTGACAGTGATAGACAGATGGATCATCCAATCACATATCATATTTTGGTGCCTGCCCTTTTCCAAACAGTTTTAATGTTTATGCTTTAAACAAATAGACAAATACTATTGCTGACTAAGTTATATTTATATATATATAAAATTAAATTTCCCAATTAGCCATTATTAGTCCTGCAACTTGGATTCTATGCTTTGCCATGAAACGGGGATGTATCAGCACAGATAGGATTCATTTTAAAAGGTTATAAAGTATAAGATATTATATATTATATATAGGTAAAATAGCTTTATCTCTAGGCCTATAAGGACCAAATCAATCAATCTGAGAATTTTGGTTGGACAGATTTTAAACTCTCAGACAATTGGTAAATACAGGCCCAGGTAAATTAGATATATCTTAGATGAACTAAGCTGTGAGAAGCAAACATCCTGTAGGCACACAGCAAGTTGGTATTAAGAGAAGTGAGTAATACAAGACCTGGATTGGTGACCTGCATGCATTATCACATTTATAGAACCTCCCACTCTTTACTCCTCTTGAGCTATAGAGTGACCTCTTATTGAAAGAGTTACATTTTCACAATGTAGACACAGTTATATAACAGAAGTGTCTGGCAATGTATTACCACACTGAACAGTGATATTGTTTTTAGAATTTGACAGCCTCAGTGGTTGTCTGTTTGTAGCAAACATCCTCCAAAACTGATCACTTAAGCAGGACAGTTTTTGTTCAAACTAAGTGCGTGTGTGGGCCAAAAAGTATGTTTTGAAAGGCAGATGTCTCTGCACCTGGCAACATAATCATTGATAAAACTGCTTTTGTCAGTTTGTATTGTTTTGCCCAAAACATATGCCACAAATGGAGCTCAAAATGCAGACAGCACTGTCACTGACCCAAATTTCTCTGTTATTTTTAACTGTTGTATCCTTCATTTTTAACAGTACTGTATTAGTCATATTTCTCATTGTTTTCTCCCACACACTGAACACAGATTGTGGTCTGCTCTTTGTTTTTCCCACCATGACACATTATTGGTGTTGTCATGGTGAATGGCCCTTATTTTAATGAGGAGGCTGTGATACTTTTTTCCTGAACTCCAGATTCTCATCAACCCAAAAAGACATGCTGTATTCACAGGATAGAACTAGTGGAATGGTGGAAAGTATTCAAGTAGATTTTGTCAAATTTTGTGGTACTTGTATTTATAGTATATCCATTGTGTGTCACTTTATTCTTCTCCTCTTGACAGTTATACAGCAGCTATGCCATGTTTCAGATATCTAGGTTGTCAGCAATTCTATCAACAAGAAATTTGTCCATTAAACTTAGATAGTTTCATTTAAATATTGATTTGAATTTGTTTGTTTTGTTCTTTCTTCTACATTACAATCCTTAATTTATTATAGTGGTTTCTATCTTATGTTTATATGAATTTTAAACTATCTCCAGCTTCAACAGTAAAATGCTCCTTATATCACTAATAACAATAATGATGTCATACATAATGTCACAGTGGACATTTTACTGCACTACTTTTACTTTTGATATTTTAAGTACATTTTCCTGATAATGCTATTGTACTTATCTAACATACTTAAGGAGACTTTTAAAAGCCCTGGGACATTTACTTGTAATTAAGTATTTTTATGATGTGGAGCACTGTGATCATAAAAGCATGGCCAATAGAATGGACATGAGATCTGAACGGGTTAAAGTAGTATCTGAACATTAGACATTTGGCCCCTGAAGTTTACTAAATATCACACATTTCTATTTCTAGTAATGTAAGATTATTTGAAGGATATTTTCTTAAAGAAGATAAATATTTAAAGAATGTTCTCGCCATTATTGAGACAGAAATCTGCGAGGGTCAAAGATTAAAGAAGACACAGGAGAGAGTGAACTGAACCCTTAGAGGTAATTTATCAAAGCAGATGCATATGGCCCCATTCCACACAAGCATCTATTTGAGCAACTTCTGCCTCAGTTCCAGCATTGTTCAATATTCCAGACCACTATATGTGATCTACTGTGTGTATAATTGTATTCATTCATCCTCATATGCCCAGTAAACAGAGTTGTGGTGCTGGTAATGTGTATGGAAACTACCAGATGTTATGCAGCAGTGCCACGGTGTTTGTGACAGGAGTGTGGTTCATTGAACATTTGTTTTCTCGTTTAGCATCTGTTTTTCTCTCACTACATGAAAGTTTTCTCCTCCGTGCACTAACGCGCCCCATGCCATCCTGTGATTATTCACCCCCTGCAATAATTTTACAAAGTTTGTTTGAGAAAGTTTGCACGGTTGTTTTAAGATGGTTGAGGCATCACAAAGATGTTAATTTGTACTGGAGTGGAAGTATGGGGTGTTTGTGAGTTGAGGATGCAAATGCATACCTGTTTTATTCACAAAAACTGGAAGAATTACATATTACCAATATGAAACAGGGTGTCAGTGGGGTCTTAAAAAGTTTAAATTCTAAATTTTAGGACTTAAAATGTCTTAAAGGACCGGTGTGTATGATTTAGTGGCATCTAGTGGTGATGTTTCAGACCTGGTAATGAAAACGGGCATCCTGCAGCATCTGTAGATAATGATTTTGACATATGATTGTGACAGCACTTAAAAATGTATTGGATGATTGAAGTTGCTTGTATAATGATGCATTTTCCAGTCTTGTTTTGAATGTGTTCTTGTCTCAAATTTGTATACATCATGGTGTAACACCTACAAAATGAAACTGACATGGACCTGATTTTTCCTTCATATTCTTTGTACTTTGTTTTGCCTATATAGATGTGAAATAGGTCTTGCATTGAATTGATAATTGGAATGGTCTTAAATTTAACTTGTTGAAATCTGCAGAAACCCTGAAAGAATTACATTACTGGAAGAAAAGTTGGCCGGATGAGCAACATAACCATCATATCATTATTAACATTCATCGTGATGTAACACAATACTCCCAAAAACTTCTTCAGCACATACTGTAATGGTGAAGAAATCACCACTGTGCACAGAAATCTGGCAGTAAAATTCCATCCTATTGGTGCCATGCGTGGGAGTTGTCTCTGACATATGTCATGGAGCATTGGCTTTGCGGACCTGGAAAAGAACAGGTCGGTGAGGTGTGAGAAGAATATTTGACATCCCCTTATCTTTGCTGCTCCTAGGTTTAGGGCCACATTCGGGTTCAGGTGGGGAGAGCAAAGGATTAATAGAGCCAGAGGGCTTCATCTTCACTTTGGCATGTACTCTGTTTAGACTGGAGGCCATTACTGCAACTCCCCCCGGACTATTCTAGTCCTCCAAACATGCAGGACCAGGACTGCAACATCTTGCCCTCCTGCCTTCTGTCACTTCCTTAAACTTACTGACAGCTCTGCAAATGATTGGTATCAGTTACCTATCCAGAGTAACAACAGTAATTTGTGCTTCCATGGCCTCATTTTTAATTTCTTCTCTCTCTACATCAGCAATAGCTGTAATTATGTCATTTTAGATTTCAACCACTTGCCACTTAACACTCCCAGGCTGTAATACAAACCTTTGTTGTGTTCAAACAAAAGGAAAAGAAGCTCTACATAATTGTTGCTATTATTTGACTCTGTACCCTCAGCAAGACCCCTAAAATGAGCTCTCTGTGGCAAAAAGACAACACAGTTAATCCTCTTCAGTTTGTCCTCAATTTATCTCACCTGTTTATTTTGCATTTCTATTGCCCTTCTGTTGGTTCAGTCAGAAGTCCACCCTGCAGTTTGTAATTGCTGTCCAGCCCTCAGATGACAAGAGACATGTGTGGTTTGTGAAACCTCCATGTTTTGAAGGCAAAGTGTCCCAGCAGTGCACTTCTACCTTTGCTTGACAGTAGTGAGCCACTGTGGTGCACATAGTAGAGGTCAGGGACAGAATTCAAAAGAAAACTGTAAATTGATTTTGACAGAGAGAGACCCAGTTCAAAGTTAGACCTGGTCCAAATATACCTGAGGATAATTAGACCTGATCCAAAATGTGGTCAACCCAAACAAACCCAAATAAAGAGAGAAC